TCCTCTACTGGGCAATTGACTCAGCTCAACTCCTCCTCTCAGGAGACTAAGCAACATGCCAACATGAGATGGAAAATTGCTTAATAGTTATTTCGTTCCATCCATTCTATTGTACTACTAGATACTCTCAAACTGTACCCACAACAAGCAACAATTTGGATCTATTTGGGATATGCATGAATTAAGCATCATTTCCTCGACGATCGCCACCACCCGTGATCTTGCCGATGGTCTATCTTTTCATGGCTTCATTATCAATCCCGTGTGCTAACATAATTGTTCATGTACCCTAATTTATTATATATTAAGGTGTACGGAAATAGTGCCCGCAAAAAAAAAGCTGTATAGAAATATTCCCTGCTAAAAAATAGCATACCCACAACTTGCAACAATTTGGATCTATACCTATCTTTTCACCCTTGATGTCTTTTGGTGAGAGAAAATATGAGTTGGTCCAGCATTGCTGGTTGGGGTTTTGTGTGAGGGCATATGCATGAAGATGGAGTCATGCAGAGCAGCTGCTAGCTTGGCCCTGCCGATGCCTCACACCTAACACGCATGCATTCCTCTTCGCTTCTCCATGAAAACCAAAATAATGCATGGTTGGTTGGTCAGAAAACTAACCCAAGTCTCATGTGGCTCTCACTAGCCCACTCACCCAGCATCAGTTTCATGTGATCCTGGAAAGGCCACACTCACTGTCATCACTGGTACATGTCTTGCTTTCCTCTCCTTTTTGTCATCCATTTGAGTAGCTGCTACTAAAGCTGAGGTTCCTACTTGTACTTGTACCAGGTGAATATGTAGCTAATGTTTGCAGTTCGGTGATCACATGATCATGCATGCCGGGATCAACTTGCATTTTCGGTGTTGCACGAATCTTGATGCACATTTCTCTTGTATCAGTTGTGCAATTTTTTTTTTTGCAAATACAGCTGCATGATGTGTAATATCCCTTCATTCCATAATATAGCGCCTATAGATTTTTCCAAAAGTCAAATATTACAAACTTTGACCGTATTTATAGAGAAAAGTATGTACATCTAGAATGCCAAATGCACATCAATTGGTGCATCATGAGTTATATTTTCAGAATGTACATGTTTGGTATTGTAGATGTTGACAGTTTTCTCTATACACTTGGTCAAAGTTGGCAAAAGTTTGACTTTGACTTTTAAAAAAAAACTATAGGCACTACATTGTGGAATGGAGGGAGTATGTCCATGTCAGTGTGCGTGGAGTGCATAAACTCGGTCAAATTTTGAGATAGTTTGACCCTCCAACAAAGTTAGAAGTATATTTTTTCAAAGACGGGGGGAGTATACACCAAGTTGCCTCCATCTGCCCCTGCTAGCATCTCAATCCAAGTTATTGGCAAGAAACCAAAATTCCTATTCGCCGGAGAAATTATCTTAAATAATGGTGATGCCGTACGACACGTCGACGAGTGTGACGTTAACATTAACTAATTAAGAGAAAGGGACAAGGAACCAAGGATGAACTGGGGCCTAGGGCAGCTAAGCCACTGGACTAGATGGAGGCAGGTGAGCAACTGGGATTAGCTTATATGTTTGTTTAGTGGTCTATATCTACTTAGCAACTCTGGCCCTCCCATGATGTATCCTCTGCTCTGCTGCTGGGGAATTGAATTAGCTCAACTCCTCCTCTCATGAGATGAAAATTGCTTAACTATTGGCTAAATGGGGGGCCTGGAGTTGATATTTCACTCTATAATTTGATGAATACTCCCTCCGTTCCGAAATATAAGTCTTTTTAGAGATTTCACTAGGGACTACATACGAAGCAAAATGAGTGAATCTACACACTAAAGTATATCTATATACATCCGTATGTAGTTCGTAGTGGAATCTCTAAAAAGACTTATATTTAGCAACGGAGGGAGTAGATTGGGGGCCTGCACTTGATATTTTCACAGCAAGCTGCACGCATGCATGGTCCCTCTCGTTGAGGGGGTCGATCACAGTTAATGCAAACCCCACACACACTGCCATTGGCCTCAGGTTGCATTTGGTAATGCCCTCCTCTCCGTTTTCAGATCCAAGCTTTTCATGCATGCATATACCTACTTTTCACATCCATCGTTTCGAAATAACTAGTTAGGGATCCCCAAAAGTGGAAATAGTTAGGACTGAATTTTAGAGTAAGATCCCATTCTCCCCGTAAAGTCATTTGATTCCTTACACAATACAGGATGGTTGTGGTGGCTTCGTCCATATTCACGCCCCGCGGGTCTAGTCTTCACTAGATCCTGTATGAGTGTGGTCATGAGCGTATATGTGTGTCTCTCTACATTTGTAAAATAAAATCGACATGTACGTTAGGTTTCGTGCGTTCTTATAACGGTGCGATGGGATGTGCTTATAGCCACATCAACCACCCATGTTTTAACGACTAATATTTGTCTACTCAAATGACATTTGTGGTGGTTTTAGTGATATTCACGCTCCGCGACTTTAGTCTTTACTAGGTTTCGTATGAGCTAGTGTGGTTGTGGCGTTGTGCGGTTTTGTATGAGTTTGGCATGTTTACGCTTGGGTGCCACATCAAACTACCCATGATGTAACAATCTGTATTTGTCTACTCATATGACGTGTGTGGTGATTTTGTCGATATTCATGCTCTCCCACTTCAATGTTTACTAGATTTTGTATGAGTGTAGTTGTGCGGTTTTGTATGAGTCCGGCGTGCTTACGCTTGTGTGTCACATCACCTAGTCGTGATGTAATAGTTAATATTTCTCTACTCAAACCCAATTCATGCTTACATGGTATTATTCAAGCACTTCTACATTTTAAAAGCCCATTTCAATCATTGGCTCCATGCATGTATCTTTTTCTCCTTGGGCAGGTCAAACAAACGCCTTTCTTAATTTATCTCTCGTCTTCTTGATCCAATTAAGGCAACAAATTCCCTCTAAATTTCTCAAAAACATTTAGACATAACATGTTGAAATTTATTATATGTCCTTACTTCCAACACGATTTTCACTTGCATAATATCCAAATATCTTGCTAAGAATCAACAAAAGCTTCTATGCCTCGGTCTGATTGGAAATCAAGTAATTTCCAGCAATTTCATAGATATTATTTTTGCAAAAAATCTATTTTATAGATTTGTTCATAGAAATTTAAGAAAATATCCACTATGATAAAAAATCGTTCATGTAATAAATAAATATATAATCCAAAATGCCTAAAAGTCAATCAAATTAGTCGATTTTACAGATGTTCTTGCAAAACTAAAAAGAAATTATTGTGATGTAATAATTTATTGATATACTACAATGAATTGTATTGTTTGTTCAGTTATTCCCTGAGTTTAGAAAGATATGAAATCTTGCACGGGTTTCAAATGTCAAACTCAATGTAAAACACGCTTTTGTACTAATTCCTACCCGGTTTGATATTAGCGAATCCGTTTATGCTTTCCTCTCCATTTTTAATCCAAGTTTTTCATGCATGTGCCTTATTTTCATGTAGTTGTCATTTTGACATGAAAGAAATAGTTAGAGCTCCTAAAAGGGGGAGATAGTAGGTTTGAATTCTAGAGGTAGATTATTTTGCTCATACAGTCATTTAATTTCATAACAATACGAGATGGTTTTGGTGCATCAATATTCATGCTCCATGTCTCGAGCCTTTACTAGGTTTTGTATGAGTTTGGATGTGTGGTGCAATGGGATCTGCTTACAATAACATCAACCACCCGTGATGCAACGATTAAAATTTATCTACTCAAATAATGTTTGTGGTGGTTTCGTCGTTATTCACGATCCACGACTTTAGTCTTTACTAAGTTTTGTATGAGTCTACCATGCTTATGCATGGTCGCCACATCAACTACCCATGACGTAGCAAATAATATTTGTCTGCACAAGTCAAGCTCATGCTTGTATGGTTTTATTCAAACACCTCTACATTTCCCAAATGGATTTCAGTCATTGGTTCAATGCTTGTATCTTTTTGTCCTTGGAGGAGTCAAACGTAAAAGCTCTCTTAATTTGTCTCTCACCTTCTCGATCCGATTAAGGAAAGAATGCCTTTGAAATTTCTCAAGAACATTTATCATGTCCGTACTTGTTTCCTACATGATTTTCAGTTGGCATAATGTCCAATTGTTTTGCTAAGGATCAACAAACGCTTTTATAGAATATATGCTTTTGTGTGTCACTGACTGAGAATTAGCTAATTCGCAACCAGAAATGTGCATCATGTTATACCAGCATAAAACATTGTTCAACTAATGCAATTATTTTTCTCCTCGTTGGATTCTCGGTCGATTTAAGTAATATGTTCATATACATATATAAATGAATATTCATATGACCTTTTTTTTGTTCACATAGTGCAATAATTGCACCCCCTCTATCCCAAAATATGGCGCGTATTAGATTTATCTTAAAAAGAAATCAAACTTTGCATAATATGACCAAATTTATACCAACAATCTTTTTGCTAATATATACTACTTTCATGTGGTATCGATTTGGTTGTGGGTAGAGATAGTTTTCTCTATAAACTTAATTAAAGTTTGTAAATTTAACTTTTGTGAATGAAAACCTATGCGGCGCCATATCGTATGACGGAAGAAGTAGTGCTTCTTGGTTTGTTCGGAGGGTGTGAACTCGTACACATATCTCAATCGATGTCAATATGCCATACCGATGATGCTAGCTTGATTTCGACATCGATTTTACTAATCCTCCCGACGACGACCGAGGATTTATTGAAAAGGGGATTTCAAAACCATTTTCACAAATTTGTTGTTATTCCAGTCAAGTCATTTCCTGGGGTTTTATAGGTGGGCCCACACCCAGAGAGAGTGAGGGAGGGAGAGGTAGCTGGAGTAGAGCCTTCATATGCACACCACAGCAGGTCTCAGGTCAGCCCTCCCCTCCCTTCTTTAAATCGGAGACGCGACGCCATACGGACACAGAGCGCGCACACGGATACTAGCAGCAGCTCAGCTCCATCTCATTAATGGCGCTCTCCACGCTCCTCCTGCCCTCCTCCTCCTCCACCGCCGCCGACACCTCCGACCACCGCCGCGGCCAGCAGCCGCAGCAGCAGAACCACCACAGCAAGCGCAAGAAGAAACCTCCGGCGCCGCCGCCGCTCTCCCCCGCGCCCAGGACTCCCGGCCGCCGCCATCTTGCCGCCACCGGGACGCCGTCCAGGAAGAGCCCCGCCCTCGCTGCGCCCACCACCGGCGCTAAGGCCAGGCTGGCGGCGGGCAAGGACCACCGTCAACGGCGCAGTGGCTCGAAGAAGGCAGCTGCGCAGAAGCCCGCGCGGCCGGCGTCGTCGTGGGAGCAGCTGAAGAGCCTGCTGAGCTGCCGGAGCGCCACGGCAGCCGCGCGCGTGCACGACCCGGCCGCCCTGGCGCGGGGGCCCGGCGCCGGGGGATACTGGGGGACGTCCCTCTGCTCCATGCGCGACGTGGCGACCGTTGACGGCGCCTCCTCGGCCGCCTCCGTCGTCGTCGACCACCGCGACACCGCCCCGCTCAACCGCTCCTCCCGCCGCGCTCATCACTCCTCGTCGTCGTCGGCCGGCGGGGGTGGGCACCCGTCCTCACTCCGGGGGCTCTCCGGCTGCTACGAGTGCCGCGCCATCAACGTCGAGCCCGTCTCAAGGTCTGCCGCCTGCCTATAGCTAACCCCTCTCATTAGCCATCAACTAACTCCATGGATGTTAACCATGGTTAGTCTTTGCCATTAGTACTAATCATTTTGTTAATTGCCAACAAATTCAGGAGGTACCCTCGGCCGAGGGAGCTGTGCCCGTGCTCGCAGTGCGGCGAGGTGTTCACCAAGGCCGACAGCTTGGAGCAGCACCAAGCCGTCCGCCATGCCGGTAAATTCTCGAAACCCCGCCCCCCGCCCGCCCTGCATCGATCGATGCACACAGCCATATATAGCGACCGCGAAAATCGGCATTGTTTTTTTGCAAAATATATATATACAGAAGATCTACACTATGCATGTGTTGAAGATTTTTGTGGTGCAAATTAATTATGTGTGATAGTGGAGTACAACTACTAACCAGAACCATTAGTCAGGAGGCCTTAGAAAGCTACTAGCTAGATGGAGATCTGTGCTCTGCTGTGGCATGCACTAATTAATTAATTAACTAGCCTTTGGTCAAAATGATGGGCTAATCATGATTAAATGATGGAGAAGGTATACATGGCACCAATGGAGCCATATATACAAAGTTATAAAAAGATTATACGCCCTGATCTAGTGGTTTAGTGGTTGGATTAGGTTAGTAATTTATCCCCACACCCTTGCTTGCCGTGTGTGTGTGAGAGATAGTGAGAGGAGACAAGAAGAAGGGGGTTAGGAAGATGCTCATCAAAGCTAACCATCTCCCACTTTTCACCTCTTTCCCTTTGTCTTTTGTGGGTTGCAAGGAAGCTACTGTCTTAGCTAGCTTGTGCACAAATCCACTGCCACTGCCCCTGCCCTAATTATAATATTTCGGATGATAACAATAACTAATTGTCGGTGTCTATCTGTATCTGTATCATATCAGTTGCTTGCACTTGGTAAAGGCGGATGCATGGCATGCTAGCTAAGATCAATTGCTTACTTACTAATTAATCAGATGATATGGCCGGGGTATCTTTAGGCAGACAGTGAGCTAGTGTTGGCATGCACGCAGGAGTAGGATACTCCACATGACTGCCCACTATTAAACCACTTACACCACCATACCGCCGACTAGTCGATTAATTAAGCAGCTAATCTCACAGTTACAAGCCTGCAAGATGAGGTCCCATGCTGGCTGTACCACTGCATCATGCGACAGTGCCTTCAATTTATAGCGGTTGGTAGCACGTTAATTAAGTGGGACTGCATGCATGCATATCCATGTCTGCTTGTTGTATATCTACACTTATCTGAGAGAGAGAAAACAAAATGAAGGACGAGAAAAGATGAAGCTTTGCATGCACATATTGAAAGTGAGACATGAACACACACACAGACACACAGACACACTCGTGCAATGCATCTGCATGAGACCATCATCTGCTATAACTCGTTGCATTTGCATGCTTGTCTCATGAACATGGTTAATGCCCGCTGGCTGACACTGTTGCGGCATGCATGCAGCTCAGCTGAGTCATGCGTTGAACGTTACACATGTACCGGTGTACCTTCTCCCTTAATGTCTTCATGTCCATGTACTAGTGGTAGGTGTACGTACTGGACTACTGGTGTACATACTTTTCACCTGTTTTAGGTTGGAGGACTGATTGGAAAGCGCCATGCATCACTGCCTGCCTTAATCAATACAGATACAGCCCGATTAATTTAGTTGCCGATGATGATGCATGGTGCTTTCCGAGATCTCAGTCGTGCTTTCATGGCGCTGTCGGTGTGACCTGACCGCCCTCAGATCATCCATGTGATCGCAATTGTTAATTAGTTTACTACTGCTAATCACATCACTCGCTGGGCGGTTAGTCAGTTCATTGTACTTTCTACGAGTAAATAGTTATTGAGGTTTTGCATGGTGTTGGTGGTGGGCAGTGTCGGAGCTGGGGCCGGAGGACTCGGGGCGCAACATCGTGGAGATCATCTTCAAGTCGAGCTGGCAGAAGCGGGACCGCCCCATCTGCCACATCGACCGCATCCTCAAGGTCCGCAACCCCGCGCGCACCGTCGCCCGCTTCGAGGCCTACCGCGACGCCGTGCGCGCACGGTGCCGTGCCGACGTCTCTGCGGGCGGTGCCACGCGCGCCGCGGCCGACGGCAACGAGCTGCTCCGGTTCCACCCGGCCGCGCTCGCCTGCGAGCTCGGCGCTGACGGCTCCACCTCGCTGTGCGCGTCCTGTGCCGATGGTGACGTCGACGGCAAAACGGCGGCCGCGGCGTGCGGGGTGTGCGCGGCGATCCGGCACGGCTTCGCGCCTTGGGCCGGCGCGCACCCGCTGGGCGTGCGCACCACGGCGAGCAGCGGCCGCGCGCACGACGTCTGCGGCGCCGAGGGCCCGAGCGCGGGAGCGGGGGCGGGGTGGCGGGCCATGCTGGTGTGCCGGGTGATCGCCGGGCAGGTGCGGCGGCGGGACGGCGACGGGGAGGAGAAGGAGGAGGAGGGCCAGGCGGTGCCTTTCGACTCGGTGGCCGGCGACGACGCGGGCGGCGCGTACGGGGTGCTGGAGGAGCTGTTCGTGGCGAACCCCAGGGCCATCCTGCCGTGCTTCGTCGTCGTCTACCGCGTCGACGTCGACCCTCAGTGACATGCGTATGCATGCACTGCACCAGCTATATTTCGCTGTGCACCTACCTACCTACCTACATATGTATGTATGTATGTATGTATGTATATTAATGTGTACGTGCTACTTGTCTACTTGTATCGATCAATTGTGTCGGCTTGAAGATATATAGAGTAGTATATGTGTGTCAACGTGTGTGTACCCCAAAACACAACAGAAATATTGTGTTACAAGTTGTTGCTTACATGCACGCGTGTATACCTACCTGGTCGAGTATGTATGTATGTACGTAGGTACATTGATTTTGATGGGATTGATGGGCTTCCATGTACTATTGACAGATTTGCATGTGTGATGAAGGATTATTTGTAGTAGGACTGGGACACTGGCATCATGCATGATTAGCTGTGCAACTTGGTCTTGATATTTGTTTGGAAGTAGCCAGAGTCTGATCTGATGCATTGCTCAACAAAGTAGCCGAACCTTCTATGCCATCCTCCTGCATGATATGCATGGTCAACTTGATGCACATATGATCACCAGGTCCATGCATGCATGCACAGTTAGTCACAGTCTCACAGAGATACAATCCCACCTTTGTAAAGTTGTTGGTTTTGGTTGCTGGCATCCTTTTTGATCGATTTTCTGTCAGCCAACAAGTCACATGGTCAACTGCACATGCATGCATGCATGGTGTCACCAAATAATCCCAGCCTATTTCCCTATATTTAGACAACACACAAGAGGAAATGTTTCTTGCACTGTACAGATTCTACTATATTGGTTGGCTTAATGAACTAAATACATCTAATGCAGATATTCGACGCGCATTTAACTTTGGCCGCTATTGTTTTATATAAATATGTTGGCCTTGCAAAATACTCCTTCCGTTCTGTTATATAAGGTGCATTTATTTTTTGAAAAGTCAAATGAGTGCATGTTTGCCCGAGTTTATAGAAAAATATATTAATATTCACAATACGAAAGTTAATTATATCACTTGATCCATCATGAAGAGTACTTTCATATTTTACCTATTAGGTATTTCAGAAGTTTTTATTTTATTATATAGTCTTGGTCAAACATACAAATGGGTGACTTGCACGAAAATCAACACACCTTATATTCTGGAACGGAGGGAGGATATGTGTTGACATATTTTTACTTGAGAAATGGTACAACCAGATAGCTAATTCTACTGGTATATATACACAGGCTTTTGCCCTACTTTATATATAAAGTAACAACCGCAGAAAGTACACGGCCGAATGATACAAGATTGTGAGCTTACAAAGCTGATCCAGAATAATCGGATCACGCAAAACACATGTGACTACGCTATCAGCAAAGAACACAGGAAGAACATATCAGGTGGATGGTATACACAGACCATCATGAGAGATATGGAAGTAGGTGGTTTTGTGACTTTTTCGTTTACAATTTTGAGTCAATAGAGAGCATAAGTGCAATAGCTGGATTGGTTTGTCCGGTTGCGTCGACCATGTTGCCTGGGGGCCCGAGATTCGTCCCGATCGAGTGAGCTAGCTAGCAGCTGAGACCAATGCGATGGTGGAGCCACACAAGAAAGCAGCAGGAGATCGTGGATGCACCATCCATCCATGCATGGATGCACGATCATGCATGTGCAACTGTTGCTACTTACTATTGCCTATGTAAATAATTGCTTGCTATTATCAAGCATGCATGCATGTGTCCATGTCAAGCCCTGTGTTTGTTTGTTTGTTTGTTTGCTCACAAGAAAAGAGAACCATGCTTGTGTCTATAGTACATGGGTGATTACAAATTTACAATGGTGTCTGGTCTGATCTAATTAATGTGGCACAGTGTCCAACTTGGATTGGTCACTTGGGTCAGACACGTACGACAAGTCAACCAGATCCACAGCATATATAGCTAGGAACACGTGCCCCTAGACTAGCTTCCAATTCCTCCGGGTAGAGTATTATTTTTACCCGGTTGACCCAGTTGCGCATGATCCAAGAAGAAGGGATTCGCTTGTCCCCGTCACTAGAAACGGATCCTAGATTTAGCTTCTACCAGAAAAAAGGATCACATCCTAATTGCTGGAGTAGTTACAAATGTTAAAACAAAAAATAATTTTATTCTCGGTCGGCAAATATTGTATTCATGTGCCAGATGCGCTTTTGGAGCTAGTAACCCAGTTTTTTTTTTTTTTGGAAAACCTAACCCCCCGTCCCCCGGCCCCACCCCACGGCACTCTCGGGCGACATGGGATGTAATCTACAGCCGCTGTCGTCCGCGCTCCCTCCTCCGGCTTTCTCCTCGGCTCTAGTTGGTAATGGGCCGCGGGAGGCCATGTTTCTTAGTTGATCGTGGTGGGCAGGTAGCATTGCAGGCTAAGGCCCGACAGTTGTGTGGCTATCTCTGGTGGAACCATAGTGGTTTTGTGCGGAGTACTAGCTGTCGTGGTTTTCGAAAGACCCATTGTCTAGATGGTCACTAGAACACCGGTTCATCTTCAGGGTGAGAACTCTTTTTCTGACAATTCTTGGTTGAACTCAGGAGCGACGAACTTGCATCATTACCTTGTTTGTTAAAGGTGGTGTCCCCATGCTGACAATCTCGACTAACTTCCTTGATTTAGTGGGCCCACACACTTATGGCTCGTCCTGCAGTTCATGTGCTCATTTTACAATCTGCCGTTGGAAACATAGCCATGTAAGCAGACAAAAATGGATCAAACGAACATTTATCAGAAAGACCATAAAAGAACATCTCTCTCTTCCTAGGATAGAAAATGACAGTTTCCCCTCCATCGACATCGTCGCCATGGCCTAAGGAGGGGGACTGGATGGTGGGCCCACACACTGATGGTGATAACACATCTTTTAGCGCCACTCCCTCCTCTTTTCACCAACAACGGTGGCACGGAACTGTGGGTGGCGGTTAACTAGGTCGCATGTTTGGGCCACGGCATTCGGTTGGTACATGATCAAGTGTCGAGCGTTCCAGGAGAGGCGTGCGGCTATCTCTAGTAGAAACCACAATGGTCTTGTGCGCACAGCTGGCCAACACAGTTCTTTTTGGAAGACCCATTGTCAAGATGGTGACTGAAACACCGCTTCATCTTCAGGATGAAAACTCTTTTCTAGCATTTCTTAGTCGATTTAGGAGCGACGAACTTGCATCATTATTTCGTTAAAGACAATGGTGTCTCCGTGCTAACATTCTCGACGAACTTGTTCGATTGGGTTTGCAGTTTATGAGCGGCGATGACATGTGCTTGCTTTTCAATCCTCCGTTGAAAATTAGGCACGAAAAGCGGACAAAAATGGATCAAACGAACATTTTAAAAGACAAAATAAAATAAAAATGAAAACTCTCTCCTCAAGGATAGAAAATGCCAGTTTCCACTCCAATAATTGTACACCTATGAGAGCATCTCCAACAGACGCGCTACATAAGCCGTGCGCTGGAAAACATGCCTATATAATGCGCGTGCAAGCAAAAATAGCGCTCCAGCAGAAGTTGTAAAATAGAGCACGCACAAAAACGAAGCTGTAACTTTAGTGCATGCGGACTGAGGGGCTGCAAATTTGGGGCGCCGCCTTGTGCGCGCGGGCTGCTGCATGTGGGGCCGCGGGGTTGGGCGCCGTGTTTTTGTGCGCCTGGTAAACCTTCACCGCGCAAAAACACTATTTCAGCGCTGTAAAAACTTTTTTAGCACGTTGTTGAAGATGCTCTGAAAGGCCTACTAAATTTTACCAAACCTTCCAGACTACTATATATACTTTCTGCCCCCCTGAATTTCACTGAGGTGGGGCGGCCTGCCCTCCCCTATTCCCAATGCAACACCTCCACGTCAGATTTTACGTAAAAAACTTTATTACTCTTAAGACTAGCCACAATGAGTAGTAACATAAACTAATAACATATGCATGTTATTAGTCTATGTTACTATCTTTATAGTGGGGAGTAACATATGTGTAGTAACATGCAACACTTCATTTATTAGGCTATAGACTCATTTTGTCTTGATATATGTAATGTTACTCATATTACTACTAACTAGCTATGTTATCATTTTGCTCTCTTTCTTCATTTATGGATTGTCACATCATCTATTTTATCTAAGTATGTATGATGTTATTCTCATTATGGATAGTCTAAATAGGTCTATTATTGCTGGTTTCCCCTGTGTCGACGTCGGCAGCATGGCCTACGGAGGGGGACTGATGGCTCATCCTGCAGCTCAGCAGCTCAGTGTGATGGAGTCATTACTCTCTGACCATTTCCCGGCCGTACGCATCAGCACAAATCGCCAGTAAGTCTGTCTGCACGCATACATACATACGTATGCAGATTTGCAGATCCCCAGGGCAGGTACTGTAATTAAGTTGATGGTCCTCCTCTCTACACAAACACATCACCAAACAGTACTCATAGAGCTCATCTCAGTCAATTCATAGACACTCCAGCCGCGCTCCCAACAGGCCCTTTCCAGAGGATTTTGTCGCGCCAGCGCCAAAAAACGGCCCAGTCGCGTCCCCAGAAGCCCGTTTTTCGCCGGCTCGGACCAAAACTGGTGCCGGCGGATCCAGGCCGAACCCGGCGCCCTGGGGGCGCTTGGGGAGCCGGCACAAGCGAAAAAGGCGCGTGGGTCTGCCCTGGCAGCGACCCGAGGGCCTTTTCCCGCCGTTTCTTGATGCTTTTCCCTCGCATCTCTCCCGCTCGCTCGCCTTCCTCCCGCCATTCCCTCCCTTTTTCCCGCCAAATCCCCTCCCGCTCGCCTTCCAGTCGCTGCCATGCCGCCAAAGAAGTACGCCATGCCGCGCGCGGCGGCAAACGCGACTGGCATCGTGACCCAGCCGAAGCAGAGGAAGCCGAGGGCGCCGCCATCGAAGCCACCGAGCCTGTCGAACGCCGAGTGGAGGGTGAAAGTTCAGCGGCACGACGCAGTCACCGCCGACCGGCGGAACAGGGCCATTGCCAAGAAAGCCCGCGACAACGCGGCGCGCGCGGCGGCGTCTTCCTCATCG